TCGGGTTCTAGACAGTCGGGCATTGACATAAATTTTCATTTGTAAGCTGCCGGGAAAGCTTTCTATGTTCACCGTGCCATTTTGTGCGACCAAAACATCTCAATTTGTAAACGACTGAAGTGTTTCAATGCCATTGAGACTCCAGTTGCCTGCTTCGCTGCATCACACCGTGCAATTCACAGCCTGATTTGCAGAAACTGGATATGCAATTTGGAAATTTGTTGCACTTTGTCATTGAGCCGCCGTCAGGTACAGATTGGAGTTCTCCCTGGCGCGTGGTTTTTGCATGCGTGGAATGCTCGTGTGGCATGTTTTGTGCAACAATCCGGCGTGTCCTCCTGGTCAGAAATGTTTGCGACAACATAGGGCATTTGCCTCGTTTGTAGCTCGTTTGCCGATGTCTCGTTGGGTGCGACAACTCCTTGATTGGTTTCCACTGCGCGGTGCTCGTGTTGGTGGGCCAGTCCATACATGGGAAACTAATCCCCAAAATTTTTGCCGCTACAAAGGTGTTCATGGTTGGCTAACAATCGCTGCTGATGGTGCAAGGTGGCCCAGGTTGACGCAAGATTTTGTTCGTTTCTGCATGTTTGGACGGTGATGGTGTTAGTGAGTTTTTGTGTCACCTGCCGGCGCCCTGAAAGGGCTGTCTTCGGACACGCAGGCGCAAAGTCAAAGTCAAAAGTAGTAGTGAAAGTAGCAGTAGAAGTAGCAGTAGAAGTAACAGTAGTAGTAGTAGTAGCAGTAGTAGTAGTAGTGGTGGTAGTAGTAGTAGTCGTAGTCGTAGTCGTAGTTGTAGTCGTAGTCGTAGTGGTGGTAGTAGTAGTAATAATAGTAGTAGCAGCAGCAGCAGTAGCAGTAGCAGTAGTCATATTCGTAGTCGTAGTCGTCGTGGTCGTGGTCGTGGTCGTGGCGGTGGTGGCGGCGGTGGTAGGTAGTAGTTAGTAGTGGTGGTGGTGGGAGTAGTAGCAGTAGCAGCAGCAGCAGCAGCAGCAGCAGCAGTAGTAGTAGTAGTAGTAGTAGTAGTAGTAGTAAAAGTAGTAGTAGCAGTAGAAAGTAAAAGTAGTAGTAGTAGTAGTAGTAGTAGTAGTAGTAGGAGTAGGAGTAGCAGTAGCAGTAGCAGTAGCAGCAGTAGCAGCAGTAGCAGCAGTAGCAGCAGTAGCAG